TCTAGTTTAACCTATCATTTTCCGAGTCGTTACAAAAGGCGAATCCAATCCAACCAAATCTGGAAAAACCGATATAGAGGCAAATCTAAGCCAATCATATAACCAACTCTCAAACCGACACAAGATACATAATTATAATCAAACAATAACCTAATCAGACCCTCAAAATTTTGAAAGGTCCCTAAAATACCGATGGTTGCAAACAAAAATCAATTATAATGGTGATAAGATTAGCATATGAATGTAAGTATGCAATGGAAACCGATAATACCACGATGCCAAGTTCCACGTAACCAAGTATATATACCTACCTCCTACCATAGGCATGCCAGGTAGGACCCATGCAGACACCCCTCCTTCTGTTTAGTGGGTTACACGGACGAAGGGACCCATATATACCTACGTGGTCCAGATCCAAGAATTTCACAATTGATCCTCTTGGATACGCTCAGTCATAGTCCTAGAAATATATACAAAACCAAATCAGTATAGAAAGGGTCGAACCAATCAAGTAAGAAGTGAGCACATGCTCGATGCCTCTTTTATCCCAAAAGTCAATTTATCAATGGTAAAAAGTAGTATGACTCCCATTAAAAACAATTTTAAGAGTAAAAAGGGCAAAACCTTACTCTGTAGACAGTAATGGTAAAATCAATGCATTTGTTGGGACTGTACTACAAAACATGTGAAAAGGAGTTCCAATGCAATGCAACATCCAAACGATAGCATCTAACAACCTAATAGTACATAACTAGAAACACATCGCTCACAACATATACAAAACTAATATGGAATCCAGCTGGTCCTTGATCAAGGCTTTGGGCCAATAGTATACCATATATCACAAGACAATATCACATGATCACCACTACTTAGAAAAAAAGAGAAAATTATGAAGAACCACGCAATTGAAGGAGTAAATCAAGAATCTAAACCTACTAATATAATAAGCAACTAAGGTTTTAAAGTCTAATATGAGATCGGGATCAATGTCAAGTCTACAGGTTTATTTAGAGGGAATTCCTATAATATCAAAGCAAACTTAAGTTCTATGCACTAAACGAGTGTACCAAGCCATATATATTGCTACAAGGAGAAATTATATTAAATAAAGGATCATTAAAGCTCATTACAAGGCACTTAATTATAAACTCCAAAGAGGCTATAATATCAAACTAAGCCATATGCAAGAAACTACTAAGCTAAGCTAAGAATTCCGCAACCTAATACTATCATGAGGTTCTGATGAGAATGAAGAAAATAGGAATAAGGAAGTAATCCTAAATTCATCCCGTACATACATAACTCACATGAAATATATACTAAGCATTATCTCATGGAGCACAATATAAAATAAAGTATACCACAGCCTACTAGGAAGTCGAACTGCAACCTTGAATCGTCGAGGAGCTCCTTAACTTTTCTTCACGCCCTCCAAGTGCCATGATACTATCAACACCATAAACTATACATTACTACGAAAAGAATGATACCCATATTCCTACAATATAATTCGTGCCCAACATTGGGTAAAAAAAATGGGCCGACTGGACCGATAACCAAATTGAAAAATTGAACCCGTCACTAGGTCCCTAATAGCTCAAAGAACTCGTGCTCAAGATTTGACCACGATTGGACCTAGGAAACCATCCAAATCAGTCCACAAAGTTAAGGTTCAAGAAAACTAAATTAAAGGAGGAATTGACGGAAACTAACTAGAATGACAAAAGATTATCGACTCCTAACGTGCTCCAAAGCAATTCATGAACAAATCCCAGCAATTCACACTGATCCCCTCTAAAAAATGAGCTCCCAAAGTCTTTTAATGGTGGAATTTGTATTTGAATGGCTGAAGATCACTGGAAATGAGATATATACTACTAGGGGTCTTTCTGCACAAACGCAGGACCTAATCCGCAAATGTGGAGGTCAACCTTAACCGAGGTCAACTTCACCATTCTAAGTGGAAATAAGGAACAATATATATATATATATATATATATATATATAAGGAAAAATACAAAATCCAACCCAAAACCTTATGGATGCTAGTGCAAAGCTACTAAAATGGCGAGTACAAACTTGAGAATACCAAAATATACAAGCTATCTTGAAAATATAAAAGACTAGCCCAAAATTGTACAAAAGGAGATGAGTCAACCATGAAATCCAATATGCTCACCCTCAATCTTAAGAATATTAGCCACAACAACATGAGTACCAAGGAAACAAATGTTGAGTGCAGTATGAGTACCAAAACAACAGGTACTCAATATACATTATAGGCCGATCGAGCTTGCGATTGCAATAACTAAATAACAAGCGAGTATAACAAGGTAACATGGAAAAAGTAAAGTCATAACTAGATATGCATCAAAGTAAAGCTACTATAGTAAATAATGAAAGTGATAAATCTATCTAAACCTAACTAGACCCCCATAATCCCAGAAGGCACATACAAAGGCATAACAACAATAAAGCATACAAATAAAAACACGGCTGAACCTCAAAAGACCGAGGGCTACACTCAAAGGCTATACTACAAGGTACAACTGCGTAATGAACACCAACACCCCAAACCCAATATTTCCCAAAATCTTACGTTAGAATAGCTAGTCTTTTTCAGAATCTTACGTTGGAGTGCCTTATCAGAAACTAACATACACCAGAATCTTACATCAGAATGAATAGTCCTTCCTAGAATCTTACATTGAAAGCCTTGATATAACCTAACATATACTACAATCTTACATAGGAATAGCTAGTCCTTCCCAAAATCTTACATCGAAAAGCCTTGATATAACCTAACATATCCTAGAATGTCATGTTGGAATAACTGGTCCTTCCTGAAATCTTAAATCGGAAAGCCTTATTAGAGCCAAACAATCCTTGAAATCTTACATTAGAGAGGCAGGAACCACCCCAAAATCTTACATTAGAAAGTCCACACAAACAACAAACAGCTCCCTGAATCTTACATCAGATCAATTATATAGAACCCTCACCTATCTCAGAATCTTACATTGAAATAGCTACTACGCTAACTAGCCCCTCTCAAAATCTCACCTTGGGTTAACGATAACGCTAAAATGAAAAGGGATCCTCAATGAGTTAAGGTAACTACTCACCACAACCATCCAATCATAGATACTAGTATGGCTATCTGAAGGTCACAACCTAGTCTAGAGGGTCACATTTAATCTGACTCCAATCTTTAAAAAAAACACTACGGACCCTGAAAACCAACATCTAAAGCAACACTATCCAAACCTAGGCTAAGGCTTTACAAGAACCATACTAACGTCATTCTAGCCTTATTTCAACTCACAGAACAATGGTTATCAATTAATCATAAAAAATCTCAAGAGTTACCTGAATAACCGAAATAAGGTCAAAACGATACAAGTTAGGAACTTAACAAGGAATTATGCTAGAAACCCGCCCACACTAATCTAATTAGCATGCTAGAACAATCAACAAACAAGGTCTAAGGATAGTAACACATGGCCTACATCGAAGACGATCACACATGCTCCAATCCTTTAAATTGATGCTTTTCCCTTCCAACCCACCTCCAGATAGTATCACACTATAGAATTAATAATCCAGGCGTTAGTACAATCATTTAGATATCGAATTTAAAACAATAAAAATGAGACTAAAATTGAGCCAAAATGGCATTGTGGGGCCCTGCAAGGATTCCCAAAATTGACTTTATCAATGAGTCCCAATCATCTCAAGGAACTTATCCTTGAAAATGGGCACAATCCAAGCTCAAAAAAGTCTCAACAATTCATGCGCCACACTTCAAGAATTCACAAATAAGGAATTAAAATGGAGGAAATCAAAGGGAACTTACGAGTTAAACACGTGATATACAAGCTTATCAACATCCCAATGCTATGCCCCACAAATCCCACAATGCATACGGATCTCACCTTAAAAACGAGCTCCTGAAGCCTTTCTAAAGATGAAAATATGAGGTGAAAAGATGTTGAAAATGGGAATGAACTGATATACTGCTAGTCACACTAGTCATCTCAATCTAGGGACCTAGTGATCACGGTCGTGATGGCCAACATCAAATGGGTCCAATGACTCCTTCTACGTGATTGAGTGTTAATGCCCACGATTGCGAAGACCAAAATAGATGGTCCTCACGAACGTCATGACAAGCCTGCGATCATAACACCAATTTCATTGGCCTTCACAAACATAGTTCAAAGCTCGCGAACGCGATGAACAAAGTTGGATGCATCAGCAAAGGCTGCACCAACTTAAGTTAGAATTAACAAATTACCCCGATGGAGGCTTGTGATTTGGTTGAAACTCCGTGCACACAAAAAAAACTATTGCTTCCCCACCAAATTTGATATTTTGGACTCAATGAAGATGTTGATTTTCCAACTAAAGTAGTCTTGACAAAAAGTGGATCTCACACTCGTGGTTCCATTGTAGCCATAAGCCACAAAGTTGCTCAGAATGAGTATGGAAGCCTCGAGTCCATCTAGACCAAACTCAACATTTTAAAGGTAACAAATCCATTAGAATTGCATTTTGAGTTACCTAATGTTTTGATGGAAGTCAACCATTCAAACTTTAAAAGCTCCAAAAGACATAAACTTGCACAAAGACCAAGCAAACGACCAGGTGATCGAGCTGTCAATTTCATCAAGTCATAAATAACTTGGGATTACTACAAAAAAACTTTAAACACCAAAAATTACTACAAAACATGGAAAATGACCTAAGGGTCATTCGAATAATATTTTTAAGAAAAAGTATCTAACCAAATTCTATACTCATTACTAATTCATGTTTAGCATTGATTCCTAAAATTGTGTCTTCCATTAATTTTGTTGAGTTCAAGCCTCTTAGTTTAAGAAACTACTACAGAGGTATGGCCCGTGCTAGCACGGGCCCAACATGAATGGTTTTGATTTCTTTTTCTCACTGCAACAATACAATAGTACAAGCAAACTAAACACGATGCCGACCTTCTTGGTTAAAGTTACATTAGCAACACAATTCTTGTGCTTGTTTACATAATTGAATGAAACATTAGAATTTCTTTACATAAAAAGAAGTCGTAAGAGAATTGCAATTGAGTTTCCTATTACAACCTATCTTATCCACAGTTCGGAGAGTTCAACTTTGCGATATTGATACCATCCATAAGCCAACCTCACTCTTCATCTGGTTATACACTATGAGCAAAATCTAACTCATTCTTATGAGAATAATGATTCAAGTAAAATCTGCAAAAAGAGAAGATTAAATCAATTTACAAATGTCAGAAAAATGCACAAATGGAAAATTTAGTAAATTACCAAATATAAGCACGCAGTACCACATATGTTTTTTAAAAGAAAAAACTCTAGTGAAGTTATTACATTATAATAAGATTTAAGTTGTTTATCCACAAAATAAACAAAGAGCAAGTAACATTACCTAACAATCATTGATTTCAGATTTGATCTCAAAAAATGAGAATTGTTTTCGCAGATGTAGAGCCACATCGATGCAACACGGCAGTACTTCATATATTGAGATAGAAAATTGCCTACACTTTCAGTTCAACATGCATGTATGACAATACAACCTGTTCATACATTGAGCAGAAATATTTATATGCTTTCCACTGAAATTTTAATTTATCACAATATAATTGCTTTGTCGACTCTGTAAACTTTTCCCCCTTATTCCGTTCATTGGGTAATAGCTCCTTTCAACTTTTTCTTTATGCTAGCGCAGAAATCCTGTACTATTATTTGTGAGTTGATTTTGAACACAAAATCATGTAAGGATTTATGAAAGACGTGAAAAATGTGTTAAAAGTAAATGTGTTAATTACTAACACCAAATGCGCGGTGCAATAACATAATTATACATTCAGAACCTATTTAAAACAGTGCAAAAGATAATCACATTAAGAGCAACTTACTTGAAATGCTTTACGAACCATTCCAACATGTCTTGGAATCTTGGTTAGGCTCGCCAGCTAATTTTACATCCATTAGCATGTACCTCTCTCTTTACCAATTCCGAAAAGTAAATTTGATGAGCGTTGTGAAGTCACAAAGTGGACACCATGTGAATACTCTCATTTTCATACTCGCGGATACAAAGTGAAATGGTTCAAGTTGCACCTGTTTTCAGTACAAAAAAGAATTAGAAAGAAGAAAAGATTTCAACGACATAAGAAAATAACCTATTGAGAATAGCAAAGGAGTGTCGCCTATCTCCATAGTACCAGAAAGCAAAAAGATTATCATGTTATAGATTGATAGGAGTTCTGAAGCTGAAGGCATTTTAAATTGAAATCGTTTATCTACTCTATCCGAGGAAAGCTCATATCTTCTAATACTTTTGCAATTAAGCTCGCCTTCTTTAATTCATTTTCTGCAAAGTACTCATTGACTAGAGTTTCTCACCGTATCAATGCACTAATTGAAACAACTACCACATATATTGCAAACAGTAAACTGTTGTCCACTCTAAAGCTTTAAAGGACATAAATCAAGCAAGTTTTCGCACTACCTAGTCTGAGCAAAAATAGGGCAAATAGAAAACTACATAGAGTTCACTCTTAACAACTAAATATTATGACGACAAAGCAGAACATTGAATGATCCAGTTTCCCGAATTAAGAAAACTGAATCAGGTGCTTTCAAATGGACATCAAAACATGCAAAGATTAATTGCCTGATATATGGACTCTGTGATATGATATAAATGCTCTAGATTACTCCAATTTCAAAGTTACAGAGGGCGATCGCACTACAATATATTATCAGCAGACTCACATACTAACACTGATAATATCTATGTTCAGAGTAGAGATGTAGTAGACACAAACCACAAACCAAGATCACTTCAATCAGCTAAGTTTCAAGATGATAGCGGACTGATATATGAACTCTGCTCTAAAGTAATCAAATTTCAAAATTACAGGGGGGCAATGAAACCACGGTAACCCAGACAATCTCATCAAGCTGTCCACAAATATAATACAAATAAAAAACCTCTAAAAAATTCATACTGCTCTAAAATAATCACATTTCAAAATCACAGAGAACCTTGACACTACAGTATCCTAGAGGATCACCTTAAGCTATCCATGAAGACAATATAGATTAAAAAAACCTCTAAATAGAAATTCAACTGCTCTATAAAATAATCAAATTTCAAATCATAGAGAGCGATGGCACTACAGTATCCTAGAGGATCACCTTAAGCTATCCATGAAGACAATATAGATTAAAAAAACCTCTAAATAGAAATTCAACTGCTCTATAAAATAATCAAATTTCAAAATCATAGAGAGCGATGGCACTACAGTATCCTAGAAGATAACGCTAAGCTATCCACGAAGACAACACATATAAACAACCTAAAAGGGTTGTCTATACAATATCCTAGATGATCAACTTAAGTTATCCATCCACAAATACCATAAAATTCCTCAGATTAATTCTTAAATAATCAAATTTCAAAATCACATAAATCGTGGCACCACAGTACTCCGAAAGATCACATTATCCTATCTACGAAGATAAAAAAATTAATTAAAATTGCTATTAAATAGTCAAATTTCAAAATCATAAAGTGCGTGAAACTACAGTATCTTAGATGATGATGTAAAAATACACAAAGAGAATAAAAAAATACTCTTGAGACTTGCATCTGAAGTACTGTTGATGAGTTCACGGAGAAAGATCTCCTTGTAGCTGTAGAAAAGTGTTGATAATAAGACTAAGAAGCTGATTGATCTCAGCCTGGAAAGCAATGTCGTTGTGTCCGCCATTTTTGGTAGATCTTAAGAGTTGTTGCTACTATGATAAAGAATCTCAGGCGAAGTGAAACACAGAGGGATAAAAAGCTAGAGAGGGTTTATGGGCAGTTTTATGTAACTTTATATTGAGAACAACCTACTTGAAATGCTTTCCGAACCATTATTTCAACATGTCTTGTTATAGCCTCGTCAGCTAATTTTACACTATTCACACGTAACCATTAAGATTTGATGAGTGTCTGTGAAGTTACATGCGAACACCATGTAATACTCTCATTTTCCTACTCCCAGAGAGCGGAAAAATTGATTCAAGTTGCACCTATTTTCAATACAAAAGAAATTTAGAAAGAAGAAAAGATTTCAAGGACACAAGCAAATAATCCGTTGAAAAATACATATTTTTGAGAAATTATGAATAAGAATCTTGCCAAACTTCATACTCCAAGCAAAGAGTGTTGCCTATCTTTATTATCTGAAACCAAAGAAAAAAATCATGTTAGATTGGCAATGAGTGCTAGAAAAAAAAGGCATATTAAAATTGAAATTGTTTATCTATCCTATTCTGACACCTCTGTAGAAATCTAAGTTGTACAGACACTTCACTTTTGATGTTACACCCGTGTCGGATTCTCCAAATATACACTACTTTTGGAGAATCCGACATGCACCCATTGACATTTTTGAAGAGTCCGAACAAAATAGGTGAAAACTGAATGAAAAGATTAGTATCACGAAAAAGGACTCACTCCTCTAACACACCTAAAGATTAAAAGTAATCAAGTAGTTCATCGAAGAGAAGAGCAAGATACAGATCAATTTAGGGTCCAACTGTCTGAGTCATCAATAAATTATGCCCAGAAAGCTTGAATCTAAGTAGCTCAGAATGTAAATATTTTAATCAAACATTCAAAAAGATAGTTAATTGGCTAGAAGATTGGATATAATATATTAAGGTTAATTACTTGTATTTAATAAGGGGAGTTTAATCAATCAAATGTGCCACAATCTCAAATTAATTGGAGTATCTTCTATATGCACATTCACTTTATCATAGGTAAAACAATGAAAGATGGAAACTTTGAGGCAACAATACCCTTTTGAATGAAGATCGTGTCTCCCTCTTTTACTCCTTTTTATTGTTCTTTTTCTTTAAGCTTCTCCGGTGAATTCTCGACTCCCATCCTCCTTTAGCCTTCTTTTGTACAAGTTAGATAATTTTTCGTACAATTTGTTGAAGTCAGAGTCTAAATGATTATATGTATGTTGAAAATGTGAATACTGAATTGAAATGTTATAGATGAAAGACTGATTTTACTTGATACAGATTTTTCAACTCCTCTCGCAATGTGACTCATTCCAACCTTATAACCCAAGAAGGAAGTCAACTTGCAGGGTTTGGTTGTATCATCCTTAGGCATCGAAAAAAAGGGGAAAAAAAATAGATGACGGATAAGGGAAAACTTAAAATATTTACTAAAGAGTAAAAGGTGCAGAAGTTGTAGAGAAGCTAAATCTCCAAACAAAAAAGTAGTAGGTTGCAAATGGTAAATTTTGCATTTATGCAGCTTCTGGTAACTATAAGATCTTGGAACATATTTGAGAACATACATATGTTAAAATGTGATAAATTCAAGAACGGAATCCTACGCTAGCTTATTGTCTTCTTTACTATTGTCTCGTATGAGTACAAAGAAACTTATGCTATCAAATAGTTTCTGGTCAATAGGTTAACCCTTGATGTACGTGCTTAATGACCTTTATTGATTCAGAATTGGAGAAAGAATGTTCAATTCACTCATCAATGTTCTCTTTGTATACGAATCCTTGACAACAATTGTTTGGCATATGGAGGATGCAAGAAAGCTATCCTTATGATTCATTACTCTCTAATACTATCTCATGAATTAAAACAAATTCATATAATCAAAGATCAATTCAATCAAAATAATGTACACTTAATAAATCAATAACAGACACAAAGATAGGCAATCATCAATAACTTAATCACTGGAAGGGTCTAATAAGGCAGCAATTAAAAGATGGAAGTATTTCGTGAATCAAATTTGACGAATTTTACTCCAAAAGATAGATTTCATATCTTCCGTCAAAGTCGAAGCCTTTAAGATTTTGAAAAAATCTCACCTTTGGAGCATGATCAAGATTCAGGTTCAAATATAAAAACAAAAGTCTTTTCAAATTTTGAAAGTCTAAATAGCAGAGGCAGTTCTATGGGGCTTAATAATACCACTTACTTTTGTGTGAGTTGTGATTTGCCTCTTCCAAATATAGTAGCTATCTACATATAAATTTCATAAACATTATTCATTTTCATCAATTGTAATACAGAGTGACAATGAACTCGAAGTTCTGTTGAACATTTGTTGAACGGTAAGTAATCATTATAAGCAGTTCGAAGACTTCTCGAGATGAACAAACTTTGTTTCAATAAAGTAGTCATCCGGCTCTTAAAAAATTGTTACAAGAGAAAGCGAACATTCATATAGTTCCACCATTCATATGGTTGTTTTCTGTATTTCATTCCTCGTCACTCAAACAGCTTGAGAGTAAAGATACTAAACAACAGTATGTAATCAATGGTAATCAATGGTAAGAATTCCATAACAAGTTTGTTTTGGGGATTTCAGGCAATTAATTTAGTATCTGAAATTGTCATTATTAATTCTTTATTTTGTGAATTCTAACTCATCTAGAGTTGTCGAAAGCAAATTGAAAGATATTTCAAATGAAATCAATTTTGTCAATAATTTTTTAACTTTAAGTATTTTGATTATAACCACTAAGCAATTTTTGCACATTACAAAGGCATGAACTGATATATATAGCATGATCACTTTCTTTATGCAATAACATAAGCACATTATGGCCACTACAATGATGTCTACAAGTGCAACACTGCTTAACATGATATTGGAACCTTAATACATAACAACGCCACAAAGTAGGAATGAGCTTAGAAGCAACTATTATCCCT